GAAAAGCACTGATGATTTTACATGAGATCGTCAGTGCTTTTCCAGAAATTCAAGCGGCCAGTGTAGACTGCTGGCAAGTTTTTCCGCAAAATCAGATGGTTTTGCGGGAAAACTTGCCAGTCTAGTCACAGCCTAATTGTTTTTATGAGGAACACCAAGTATTTTTTGTTGAGCCCCCCCCCCAAAAAAAAATTGGGAGGGAAATTATTGAGAAAAAAGGGTCAGGGCAAGTTATTGAACAAAAAAAAAAAAGGTCTCCTGCCCCTTTAAGGGTGGCCATTTTGAATTCTGTTCTCAGTGGCACACCTCAGACTGCCTCGGGACACACCGGTGTGCTGCGGAACACAGTTTAAGAAACGCTGCTAAATAGCCTCCTTTTTCAGCAAAAATTCATTGTCCCTACATTCCACCTTTCCATGGAAAATTACCTGGTCAGACCCTGCCTGTTAGGATGGTCCCATGGCTTCTTAAGACCAGTCATTGCTAAGACTGAAAGGACAAAGGAGGCTTTCGACAAGTGATCACCCAGACATAGAGGGTGCGTCTACACTGCAGTGTTTTTCCAGAAGAACAACCGTTTTTCCAGGAAAACAATACTTACGTCCACACTGCTATTGCGTTCTTTCGACAGAAAGTTGAAAGAACAGAGGGGTTTTTCCTACAGCGGCAAACCTCATTCTAGAAGGAAGAAGCCTTTTTCTGAAAAAGCTTTTTTGGAAAAAGACGTGTGTGGACGCAGAAGAGGGAGTTCTTTTGAGGCCTCCCGGAAATAACACAGGTGTTCTGGTGGTCACTCTGTCCAGACTAATCAAAACGTAAATGCAAGAGAGCGTCCAATCAATGCAGACGCTCTTTTGAAAAAGCACCTCGCTTTTTCGTTGGGCTTTTGCTGTGTGGACGCTTTCTTCCGAAAGAAGCTTGCCGTGTAGACGTACCCTGAGGGAAACACCCTTGATGGCTTTCCTTTGCACATTGAAAACCATCAACCATTTCCTCTCCCATATCTCTAACCTTACCTACAAGAATGATACATACCCCAAAATAAGTTATGCAGATTGTAACATTAAGATTAATGGGTTACCTGAGGTATTTTGTTGAGGGTTTCTTGTTGCTTCTCACTTGTGTTTGTGCACAGCCCCCGACTGATTTTTCAGTGGGTCAGCTCCCCTCCCCCCGCCCAACCCAAAAAGGTTCCCCGCCCCGGCTATAAAACTCCCCTGCAAACCTCTCCCTGTCACATCAGTATCTCTTCCTCTGCTGATGTTCCGTTTCCTGCTGTTCTGAGGAAGGGAAGGCCCCGTCTCTGCCGCCTTGACCGTGCTGCTGGTCTTTCCTCCACAGGATGTTGGTCGGGGCGCCCTGGGATGGGACAGCTGACAACCGGAAGGGGGACGTGTACAAGTGTGTCCTGGCTGAAAGAAACAGCTCTACCTGTGCCAAGGTTAATCTAGGTAACAGCCTCCGAAGGCTCCAATCCGTTTAGGTTGAATTTTTCAAACTTGCCCCAAGGGATTTGGAATGCGGGGGGAGTGGGGTACAACTGGAGTACTGGCATCCCAGCCCCCCCAGTCCTGATGCCAACTCTGCCATCCACCCGCAAACCCTAATGCCAACATAACCTTCCTAACTGCACTGGCACGTTCATGCCTGAGAGCTGATTGTCTACATCAGTGTTTCTCAACCAGTGGTACGAGTACCCTTAGGAGTACTCGGGAGAAGTCTGAGGGGTACGTCAACACAACTGAAATTTGGCGAAAACTGAATTTTTGTTTGAAGTCTTACAGCGTTTTATTATTTTTGTACTTTTTACACCCTAAAATTTCATTGCCTGCCCGGCGACGATTAAGTTGTTTAAACAAATGTGTTGCTACGGTAGAAAAAAAAATTGTGTGTCTGAAAACTGTAGGTACTGGGGGTAGTTATCGTTTTTTTTTGTTTTTTTTTTGAAAAAAGGATACTTTATTAAAAAAAAATGTTGAGAAACACTGGTCTAAATCTGTCCACCCCGCCTCTCGGGGTTGGGCAGGGTGTGAAACCTCTCAGCCTTTTGAAAGGGAATGTGATCAGGGCAGGGCTTCCTAAGGCACTAAAGCAGGGGTGGCCAACCCGTTACAGACAAAGAGCCAAAATAGTAGTGGATACAGCGCAAAAAGCCGAGGGAAAAAAATTGTTGAGAAAAAAAAAAAAAAAAAAAAACCCAGTCACAGCCCCTTTAAAAAGAACAGAGCAGACATTGCCCTTTTAAGGTGGTCATTTTGAAGTCTGCACCTGCATCCCGTGCAGACAGGAACACGTTGCCCCTTTCAGCGCCGCGAGTGTGGGAGCCGCAATTTTTTCTTTGAAGATCCGCATGCGGCTCGTGAGCCGCGGGTTGGCCACCCCTGTGCTAAAGGGAAATAGGTGCCACACGCCTGTTGAAATCCCATCGCCCCTCTGCGCCGCCAGAAAGCTCAGCTCAGCTCAGCTCAGCTCAGCGAGCAATCCCGGCGGGGGCTGTCGCCCGGCGCTTCGTGTAGGTGACATGGCCCTGCGGAACGTCTCCACCCAAATCAGAAACATGCACTTTGGGATGACGCTCGTGGACAACCGAGGGGATGGCTTTGTGGTGAGCCAATTTTTTGCCCAGGAGCTGGAAAAAGCCCCACAGGCTGCGCTTCCATGACGTGCCTTTTCCCACCCTGTGTTTGTGAGCCACACGGTCACAAACTCAGCCCCCCCAAGCTTCCTACTGCAGTGGCATCTGGGGAGATCACCCTTGTGCCAGGGACATACATACCCATAATGAGACAGCCCCTTCCACAAAGAGCTTACAGTCTCAGTGAGTGTAAGACAACAAATGGGAGGGGAAACTGAGGCCCAGGGTGTGTCTAGACTACATGCCTCCTTCAACGGAAGCATGTAGATTAGCCAGATCGG